TTCATAAGTTGCAGGAGAAATGAGTACCTTTAAGTGCAATCCACCGTGAATGTAATCACTTATTTCCTATCAGAACAGATATCAGTCTAGTTAGATTAACTTAATTTCATTAACCATTACTTTCTTAAAAAACAATAGTTACAAAGTATTTATTTTGAAATCAGCTTAGTTGGTGGCTTTCTTTTTCTTAACTGGTGCTACTCTCAAAATAAAATTATAATTTCCTAGAAATGAAAAGTATGTTTTCTTTCATCCCAAGGTGACTTAGAAGATAAAATACAGATAATATTGTTAGATTTACAAGAGCCTATGAACAATTTTACAGGTACTACTGTGTAGAATTACTCCTTCTTGCCTTGGCCCATAAAGCCAGTCTTTATTTTGTATGTGTGGTTTTTGGTTTGGTTTTTAACCTAACAAAACAGATTACCATTATTTTTTTTTTAAATCTATAAAGTTTCCTTTTTAAATCTATTTAAACATCTGTTAATTAAAGTGCTGAGCTAAATGAAATCCTAACAACTCTATGATCTTTTTATTCTTTAATGTAATGAAATAAAATATAATAAATAGGATAAACAAAAATAAAAACGTAACACAGCTAAAGCATCTGCTAAGATTAACCTGAGGTTAGTATGTTACAGAGAGTATATAGGGGAACTTAAAGTCAATTATGAGTAGATTTCTTCTAAAATTCTCCACTGACAACATTGATTTTTGTCATTTGGCTTTCAACATGAAAATCAGATCTACTATTGTTATTCTCCACAGACAATGCCCAACAATTTGCCTTCCATCCACAACTCAATTTTCTCCTCATATAAATGGATAATTACTTTCTCTCATCAAATTGTTTGCTTCATCCCCTAAGAACTTTCCTTTATATTTCTGTGTAGGTATATATATTCCAGTTAAGATAATTTCCTGCAGGAAAAGTGTCTGGATAGGAGTAAATGATTTAGATTGTTGATTTATATCATACTATTTAATTCCTGATCCATGTGTGATCAAATGATCCTTTGGCTCATTTATACATCACTTTTTATTTTCTATAGCATAGTATATTACCATTTAAAATACAATATAAACATATCACTGCTATAGGTACTGGCTAAACAGGAAGCCCATAAATTTCCCTTTATGCTTGTTTTGAATTTTTTTCTGCCATTAAATTAGAAAAAAAAAAAAAAAAACCTAAAAAAATGAAAGTAGTCCATGCATTTAACAAACCCTACATTACCAAAATTAATAAAATGCACTAAAGGGTGAAAATGTCTCCACCTTCAGGTTCGAAGATGTTAAGTTCCTGGACAAATTTTTGCCTGGTGTATCTTTGGCTACTACCCATTCGTCCATCTGAGACAGGTCCTTAGGGGACGTGGTAGAAAAAAGTTTGGATATTGGTAATATTTGCTTCCTATGCCTTTTAAGTGATACTGCCAGAATAAGTGAAGCTTTTATTCAAGCTGCTCATGTAAAACATGAAAGAAAATACAGCTGTGTTTAAAAAGAGTTTTCTGCTTCGAGTCAGCAATCCAAATGATTCAGAGTCAAACAAGTATGTACCCTGTTCAGTTGGAAAAGTCAACTACCTATCCTCAAATTAACATTAGTACATGAAAGGCAAGAAATTGGAGACGACAATGGGAATAAAATATTAGTACCTAGGAACAGCAGGAATACAGACAAATGCTCTAAGCTCTGTCTAAACCCTTTGCTTCATGAACTGACAAAGATAATATTTATATCCCTAAAATGTAGTGTGGGAGTAGAATCAGATTAGTTGGATCTCATAACTATAGCCTTTCATTTCTGAGGTAAATGAATAATGGAAGCAGTTTAACTGAGAGCTAAGGGATAAGCAGACAACTCAGAATTACCACCAAAACAGAAAGCCTAAGGCAAGGTCTACATTTAAAGACCATAACTAAACTGCCTCTTTAGGTTTGGTTACTAGATCTTGGAATAAAATTATGCAAATTCCAAAGAAATCCCTAAGAAACAAAACCTGTGTCCCTGAAATCATGCTAAATAAAAATGGTAGACAAAAGTCCAGCCAGAACAAGACAGGCTTTCTTTCCTGAAGTCAGTAAAGATCAAGGGATAGGGAAGATATTCCCTGATAACAGAATTTGGATCAGGTAAAATGACTAACAACTACACAACTGAAAATTTTCTGAACTGCAATTGACCAAGAAAAATCTATATCATCTGGAGACTGTAGACTCAGACCTAGATACAAGGAGTGAGTTTTCTTCCCTTATGGAATAGACAGATCTTAATTCCAATTGGGTAGATTCACTATGCTAGGGAGGAGAATATTTAAATTATATACACAGAATAAAAACCTAGTTATAGGCAATATTTTATATTTTCTTAAATTTTTAAAAATTATCTTGCAATACTTCTTCCTATTTCTGGTAACATTATAATTTTCTTCTTATCAAAAATGTCTTCTTCCATCTGATGGAGCTGTCAATTACATGAGCCCAATTCTCTACCACAAGGGAAGACTGACAAAAGAGTTGGTATAATGAAATCAGGGTCAATTAAAAATCTAAAATGTACCAAGCAACATGTAACATGTTGCTGCTAAAGATCATCTTTGCCATCAAATAGAGAGAGAGGGCCAGGCATGGTGGCTTATACCTGTAATCCCAGTACTTTGGGAGGGTGAGGCAGGCAGATCACACAATCAGTTTGAGACCAGCCTGGCCAACATGGTGAAATGCTGTCTCTACTAAAAATACACAAATTAGCTGGATGTGGTAGCGCTAGCCTTTAATCGCAGCTACTCGGGAGGCTGAGGCAGGAGAATTGCTTGAACCTGGGAGGCAGAGGTTGCAGTGAGCTAAGATTGTACCACTGCATTCCAGCCTGGGCAACAGAGCAAGACTCTGTCTCAAAAACAAACAAACAAAAAACCCCAAAAAACAAAAAAGCACATTGAGAGGCAGAACTTTCATTATACCTTTGGAGCATTTCTATCCTTTTATTGATATCTCTATTTAATGAAATATCACTCTTCTTGTTCCTGTTAGCTCTTTGTCCATAGTTTATTTAGCTCCTTGGCACATCATCAAAGAGAGGGCTCAAGCCCAGTATGGCAGCTTTACTGGGCTTAGGAGTCGCAGTTTATAATCTAGTGCTTCCAGAATAGCTTTAAGTTGGGAGGAAAGGAAACTAAAAAGGAGGGAACATAAAAGGATAAGGTCAAAATTTGATGGTAAAATCCTCTTTAAGGAACTAAGAAATATTGGGTAAACTTAAGAACTGAGAAGATATTTGTATATAGGACTAGAGAAAGGAGTTTGAAGTCCAAATTTTACCAAGTTAGCAGAGCAAAGTACAATATTGAGCTTTTTATCTACTTGAAAGCACATCAGGGTCTTGGTTTAAGAATTAGAACCATATACATAGACTGAAGAATGCATCTCAAGCCTGAGAGAAAAACTAAAATAGGTCTATCCAAACCAAACCTAATCCTAATATGAATATTTGAACAGCTTATGTATTCTCCAGTAATTTACTACCTGTTGTAGCAAATTACTGGAGAATACATAAGTTGTAGCAAAGATCAATGCTCTTCAAAAAAATAGATTGGAATCCACAATGACCAGTCTTCAATAAGAAACAATCAGACATTCGAAGAGGTAAGAAGATTTGATTTTTGATCAAGGAAAAAAGTACATAGAAACAATTATATGAATGACTGACACTTTGGACTTAACAGAACTTTAAAATAGCTATCATGAATATGTAAAATAATATAATGGAGAATATAAATATGACAGGCATGAAAAATATCAAAAGAAAAATTTTAGTTCTAAAATTAAAAATACATAATACCTGAAATAATTGGGCTGGCTTAGCGGCAGTATTAGACTTTGCCAAAGGTAGGATAAATAAATCTAAACACAAAACAATAGCAATTTTTATAGTGAAAAACATAGAAAGTAATAAATTTAAAATAACAACAGCGAGGTTCCAATGACCTGTGGGGGAATAAAGAAAGGGAGGAAGGAACAGAAAATATATACATATATGTACTATTTCAAAATTTCCCCAACTTGACAAAAAAATTTAAACCTCACAGGTCTATCGTGCTTCATGTACTCTGAACAGGATGAACACAAAAAACACATTAAGGCACTTTTTTTCAGGAACAATATTAGCCAAAAACAAACAAACAAACAAACAATTGAATGACATTTTTAAGATGGTGGAGAAAATTAAAAACCTGCAAACCTAGAATTCTATGTCAGCAAAGCCAAAAATCCTCTGAAAATAATGATGGTATGGACATATTTTAATATAGATTGAGTCCCCCTAATCAAAAATTCTGAAATCCAAAATGCCCTAAAATTTGAAAATTTTGAGTGCTGACATTATGCTCAAAAGAAATGGTCACTGGAGCATTTTGGATTTCAAATTTTCAAATCAGGGATGCTGAGCCAATAAGTATGGTGCAAATATTCCTAAATCTAAAAATATATGAAATATGAAACACGTATAGCCTCAAGGATTTCAGATAAGGAATATACTAAACCTGTATTTTGAAAAAGCTAAGAAAATTTATCACCCGCAGGTTTATTTGACATTCTACATAAGATTTTTAATGAATGGAAATGTATTTCAGTCAACAATATGATTCTTTGGGAAAGAGTAAAGAACACTGGATATAGCCAGGCTCGGTGGCTCAGCACTTGGGAGGCTGAGGCGGGTGGATCACATGAGTTCAGGAGTTTGAGATCAGCCTGGCCAACATGACAAAACCCCATCTCTACTAAAAATACAAAATTAGCTGGGCATAATGGTATGCATCTGTGGTCCCAGCTACTCAGGAGGCTGACACAGGAGAATAGCTTGAACCTGAGAGGGGCCGGTTGAAGTGTGCCAAGATCGCATGATTACACTTGAGACTGGGTAACAAAGCAAGACTCTGCCTCAAGAAAAAAAAAAAAAAAAGAACACTTTAGAAATATAAATAAATATAAAGGGTAAGTTTCTTTTCTGAAAGTCCATTAAATAAGGAAAATGTAGATAATACTACTATAAGGTTCTTACCTTATATGTGAAGCAATATAATGTAAAGATAAGCTTTTATAAATGTAAGTATATATTTTAATCCCTTGAGTAGCTACTGCATAAATGGCACAGCTTAGCTAAAAATACAAATACAGAAGATAAAACTTAATTTTAATAAATATGTGATTAAATCAAAAGAAGGCAAGAAATAAGAGGCAAAGAGAAAGGACAAGAAAATAACAAAGCTCCAGTGGGTAGACTTAAATCTAATCACATAAACAATTATGTTAGATGTAAGAGGATTCAAAAGTACAATTAAAAGACAAAGCTTGTCAAGTTACATTACAAAGCAAGACTCAACTATATGTTGTCTACAGGGCATGCACTTTAAATACATAAAGCCATGAAACATTAAATATATGAAAGTGGAAGTATAATATGTATATCAAGCAAAGAAGACTTTAAGAAAAGGAGTAGTCTCATAAAGAAGGAGTGTTTCATAATGGCAAAAGTATCATTTCGGCAAGATACATAAACAATTTAAAACGTGTTGTACCTAATCAAATTGCATGAATCTAAACGATTTAATAGACAATATATAGTTGGAGATTTTAGCACTTATCTCTCAGTAATTGACCTAACAGTTGACAAAACACTGAAAAAGAATAATGAAAAAGTTTGTTCTTCAACTAGACTTACTTTGCATTTATAGAACTTCAAACAACCAAGAACAGCACAATACTTACTCTTTTCGAGTAAATATGGAGCATTTACCTATAAAATGCATTTAAAAGTAAATTTTAAGCATTAAATCTTCCAGAACATATTCTCTCATCACAATGGAATCACTGGAAAACAGGAACAATCTAGCAAATGCTTAGGCATTTTTAAAATTAAGCAACACACATATAACCTATCATTGCAATATACTGTGTTAACTGGATAAAGTTGCATGATATCTCAATATAAGGAGAAAAAAATTCACAAAATTCAGTACCCATCATGAATAAAACTCAAAGTGCGACAGCAACAACAAATTCTAAGAAAGTTAAGACCAGAAAGAAACTTCCTCAATCTAATAAAAGGAACATCCTAAAAATCTAAAATTAGCATCATACTTAGTGAAATATTGAATAGTCCCAGTCTAGAGTCACAAATAAGGCAAAGATATTTGTTCTTTTCGCTCCTTTTAACATGGTACTGGAGATCCAAGCTAGCACAATATGTCAAAGCCATGGGGGTAAGGGGTGGGAATGATATAAATATTGGAATGGAAATAGTAAGTTGACCCATGTTTATATTTTGTATATAGAAAATACTAAAGAATGTACCAAAGCAAGTACTAGAAAAATATAAGTGCTTAGAATATGGATGCAGAAATAAGAATTCAATATAAACAAGTAAATACTATTTTGAATATTAGCAAAAACCATTTGGAAAATAAAATTTTTAAATATCATTTATAGACTCTCAGTCTCCAGTTCGATATGTAAAGATCTTTGAAGTCATTTCTTGTATCCTCACAAAAGGGAAAAGAACATACTGAAAAATCAATACTGTTTCTTAGATGCATCAGAGAATTGAGGTTACAGGGCAAACTGTTGGCCAAAACCTGCTGAAACAGATAGGTGGATACATATAATCATAGTTTTCTAAGAACAAACGCTCAGAGATGAAGTCAGTGTCTGTAAAATCACTTCCAACTCTAATTGACACATTTCTGGTGGCTCAGTGTGAACTAGCTGGAGAGTTCAAAGCAAGGCAATATAATTTTTTTTGACAATTAAAAACACATTTAAAGAAAGACAAACTCAATACAACATGTAAAATAATTAAAAGACAACAAAATGAGATAAAAATTTCAACAGTAAAAAGTTAAGGTCCTAAACGGCATTAATTATCAATGACATGTAAATTAAAAAATATAGTGAGATATTACATTGCATCTACTGGAGTAACTAAGATTTCAAAATTTGGTGGTTTCAAATATTGGTGGGGATATTGGTATCTATTCATAGCTCTCATAAAGTTGTAAAGTGACAAAACATATTTGGAATACTTTTTTGCATATATATGGGTGTGGCATATGGCCCACCAATTTCATCCTTGGGTATTTATCAAAGAGAAATGAAAATATAAATACAGATACAGCCTTCTATCAGAATATTCATAGAAGCTCTATTTATAATCACTGAAAGATTAAAACTGTCTAAACATTCATAAGTCTTTTGTCCCTTACCTTGCCACCCTTTCCCCCTCAGTCCACCAAGTCTATTGTGTCATTTCTATACCATTGCATGCTCATAGCTTAGCTCCCACTTATGAGTGAGAATATGCAATGTTTGGTATTCCATTCCCGAGTTACTTCACTTAGAATCATAGTGAAGACTGAGATAATTTTTTAAAAGAGCAAGGTATCCAAGAGAGAAGAAAGTTATGGGATCATAACCACATCTGAAGGGGCTGTCTACATAAAAAGGATAGATGCCTTAACTATTATCACTTAAAGGGAGGAAGAATGTACGCTGTATTCATTTTGTGAGTGACAGTAAAGAAGTGTTCTTCTGATAAAGATGTTTGGATAACGAGAGAGGTGTTGACTGAGTAAAATAAATACTGAATAATTGTTAGGAAATGGTGAGGTTATGGAATTTATAATATCAGTCTTTGTATTGGTATAATTTTGTATTAGCATGGCTTAGGACTCATCATATAGAGATGGAAAAGATAAATAGATTGGCCTGTGTTTTGGGTTTCACAAAACAGGAATAAAAACAGGAAAACAGGATAAATCATTTTAATATAATGGCAAGGGAGTGATTAAGATGATTTCAAGGAGAAAAGGCATGAGGTGGCTGAAAGTTAGAAGAATACAATTTTACTAATAAGATAAATAAAATCTCCAAAAGGAATGAAAATACTGTCTTTTATTTTCTGGTGACTAAATCCAAAATTTTGTTCGCCACCCCACTCCTGAGAGTCTTTCTATGTTAGCAAATTGAAAATGAGCAGATGGTCCCTGGACCTGCCCATTCTTTTTCAAAAGCAGATGATGGTTTCCCAAAGGAAAAATGTTAACTTAGAAATAATGATAATGTTTGACCTTTTTAGGTTTAGCAGGTATTTATGCAGCTGTTAGCCACAGTAGCATCTAACACACATTATTATAGCAAGTCATAAATTTTTTGAATAATTTCAGTCATATGGCGATATCTAACTTTAGGAGAAAGAAAGATTTTCTTAAATCCCCTTAGGCTTGGCAGAATTGATTTACAGAAAACATTCAGAACAAGAATCTAAATTTTCCAAAAGTGACATTGTGAAAGACATCTGTTTATCACAGGCACTAAACTATAAGCAGTCTCACTAGAAAATGCTATAGAAAGAGCTATAAATATAGTGGAGCAAGCAGGTTGCCAAAGCCAATGAGTGGTAAAAGTCCCAGAAGCTAAGTGAAAGGAAAAAACAAAATTTCTTTTTAATAGGAAAATTCTTCTCTTCAATGTCCTTACCTTCATCTGGCACAATAACAAGTGATTGCTTCTCATTTCTTTTCTAATTGAATTTCCTTCTTTACTTCTCTAATCAGGGTAACACAATACACACCATGATGTACATTTACTCTGTTAAGCAACCAAATAGACTTTGAGCACGTGTCTTGCCATTCTACATAATTCACACCATCTTAGAAGCGGTTTCTCTTCAATTATTATTTTCACTGTATGAGCCAGAAGCATGTGTTTTTACCCCATGGGTAGACAATGGCTTCTTTGCAAAGTGCCATGAGAGACCAAGCCAGGGAGGATTCTTGTTGAGCACCTACATGCATGGCAACAGATACTTCAGAAATTATTGTGAAGTATGCACCTAATTTTCAGCATGTAAAATTTAAAAAGACAAAATATTGTATAAAAAATATTTCATAAACCATTAAAATGTCTATATTTAATTAACCTAATTTTATCATAAAACCCCTAAGGAGACAGAGATGTCACAAACACTCTGTTTTAAAAGGTAACATTTATATAAGATAAATGCTTATTATTTCTATATCACACAGACAGAGGACAGAATTTTAAAGGATTTACAAGATTAGAAATGGAAAACTCAGGAAGCTCATAAACTGTAAAATGTTTTCATATTTGCTTTGCTGGTTAGCTAGTTTGCTATCCTCTATCCCTGATCCTAAAAGACCATGACAGCTCAAAGAAAAAAGATATACAACAAATTGATAGTAAAATTTAAACACAAATAAGGAATGCAAATTATTTAAAATATAAATGATACAGAAGTATATATAAACTTTGCATTTTCTGAGTCTCCTAACAGCCAAATAATAACCAAAACATGATAAGTAGATATATGTTTTCAAGAGAAGGAAACAAATATTTAAGATAAATTCAAAAAGCTGCACATATAATCAAATTGTAAGTGGAATTTCACATGTAGACTTTCATAATGGCAATAATATAGTCAACAATGTCTATAATAATATTTATACAACAAACAGTATTTCTATAATAGCAACAGACTTAACTGCTTCATTTTTAAGCAACCACCATTTCAAAGCCCAATGAATAATACTGAAATACAACTTACTAAAGGCAGTTATACAGAGTCAATGAAATACAGTCAAAGCACGTAGTAATGACAAAATTTTATTATTGATTTTTAATGGCTCAATGATAGAATTCACTGGATATATGCATATGTTTATGTTTGTGTTTGTGTGTTAACTTCATATATCCAATTAACGTTTTACTTTGCAATTATATATTATTTATCTTTTTGTAGAAAAAGTATTATCGAATAACCCAGGCTTCAGATATAATCTCCCCTTTCACAAACTCATAACTTTGCTGATGCTGTCACCCTTAAAAATCTATTCTCCCTCAACAATGTAAGCTATTCTTCAGAAATCAGGTCAAATGCCACTTCCTTTTTTATCTCCCCCAGTAATCAGTTTTTTGTTTCTCTGTGCCCAC